AAAGAACAAAACGAGAGTATGTCCTCCCCCCCCAAATAGGCAAAATCATACTGGTTTTCTCAGAGTAAATATATATCACTGGGGTTCTTTTGACATCCAACCCCAGTGTCATAATATGACATATGTGCATTTGGGGCCCCTACAGTGCTTGTTTGACTCCGAAGTGGTCCCTACCCTCCCTAGACCTCCTAGCCCCTCATTTGCCTGGCAATCCATGTCAAGTATTTGACAGTGAATTGTCACCTATTACTATGGTTCAAGGAATTAGAAAGGGAACATAAAAGAAAAGGAGAGGCAAAACAATTTTTCATCTTTGGTTAGAGAGGAAAAGAAAAGAAGTGGAAGGAAAAGAAAATGAGAAGGCAAATGTACTAAGAGAAGGGAAAACCAAAATTTTCCATTTTGGTGAGGAAAATGAGAGAGCCATTTTCTTTTCTTTTCCATCTAAATTTTTTGAACCACATAGTGTAAATGGAGGACCTGGGGATAGGAATCAATTCGGGGTCGAATAGAACCCTCGAATGATCTGGTGTTATTATGACCCTAGCCCTTGGTGTCAAAAAAACAGGGTCGAATATATAAAGGATTGAAATAGCAGAACGGTTGTTTTTGTGCATTAAGATTGGTGACCTAAATCTTACTTTTCTATCCTTCTTGCACTTCTAGGTTGTCATGGACAATTTGAATCCAGTTTGGAATCAGACTTTTGACTTTCTTGTCGAAGATGGGTTGCATGATATGCTGACTCTAGAAGTCTATGATCACGACACATTTAAGAAGGTAAAAACTTAATACAAATATGTCACCAAATAAACTTCATTACAAGGTTATGGATCCATTCACAAGGTTTTATAGGACATAGACCAAATAAGGAACATTGTAAGATAATAAGGATGGAAAACAAAAATCAACACTTGTTTTTTGTTTTTGTTTAGTTTCATGTCTAGTCCATTATAATACGCTTTTCTCTTTCTTGGAGAGTTTCTTGCTTGTAATACTTAGGGGCCATTCAATATCAATTAATTTTAGTACTGCTAAGTTCAGTACCATTCAGCTCATGTGACTTCTGAACATATATGTTCATGACACTTCAATACCTTTTAAGTTCATTTCAGTATATCATTCAGTTCAGTTCAATTCATTGGTGGAAACTCTATAGAAAGCAAGAAGCAAGAGGAATTTAATTTGCCATTCAAAGTTAATTATCTACCCAAAGCTAAAAACGTTGTAAAAAATGACTCTTTTTGCTCTGTTGTGAAGTAATATTCTTACGTTATTTTTGCGTTCTACAGGATTACATGGGAAGGTGTATCTTAACATTGACGAGGGTAATAATGGAAAGTGAATATAAAGAATCGTACGAACTGGACGGTGCCAAGTCAGGGAAGCTCAACTTGCATATCAAGTGGACACCACAACCAATTTACAGGGACACCTAACTCTTCGGGTTGTGTTTCCGGAAATACCCTCTCGGGTTTGACTCAAATTTTGTAGATACATTGCCACCAGAACTCAGAATCCCGGAAGATTGTCGTTTTAACGTTTCGTGTACATAGTGTAATTCCATTAGTTTGCTGGAGAAAGATTTATAGAGGGTTATATATATAGCTCCAAATTCTATTTGTGTGTAGTTACTAGAGTGAATAAAAGAGGGAGATTTGTTTTTATGCTTTGGTTTATAGCTTGTGCTTGTGTTTTTTATGCTTTATGTCAAGTTTTTAGAGTTGGTTTGTATGTTTGGTTTGTCTTACTTTGTTTCTACTTCTGTATTTGAGTCGGGGATTTATTGAAAAAACAATCTCTAGTCTGGATGTTGTTGGATTTGTTGATGATAGAGATTTAGTATTTTTCGTTTTAATTATTTGAATGTTTTTTTAGTATGAAATTTTATTACGAAATACTTTTTTTTCATTTCACATTTGCGTTATAAAAGTAAATAGGAGCACTGTCTAGACCCTTTGTTTCAAGATTTGTAATTGTAGAAATTAATAAGAGAGAATATAGTTTGTATATTGAATTGTCTTGTGAATACAAAGGTCTAACCCTCTTTATATAGGAAGAGAGTAAAGTATATAAGTAAACTTTTATTCCTACCATATTTCTATTCCTACTATAACAAGAACTAAGCAAACTAGGAAAGATACTAAACCGAATCCCAAAGGGATTCAGTTTCCTTCTTTGATCCGGCTTCCTTCTTCTGTCGCCAACACCCCCCTCAAGCTGGATCATGGGAGTTCAACATGCCCAGCTTGGACATCAAGAGATTGAACAAAGCAACAAAGCTTGAGAAAGTCGCTGCCATCGTTGTCCAAGTGTCATCTAAACACTTCAGTTTTTTTTCTTCAACGGAGACGCCAAGCTTTTCGAATCCGCCGAATAATCAGTCGAGTAAAGGAACGCCATTCTTTTCGAACCTTCACCGTATTCGAACAAACAGGGGGAACACCATTCTTTTCGAACACCCTGAACGCCGACTTTTTTGTTGCCTACTAAGGAAAGAGTTGTCTGTCTCTGTAGAACAACCCTTCTCGGACAACTTCTTCAAGATTGATGGTTGGGCGGGATTCCTCAACAGAATGTTTTTCGTCAAAGGAGTTCATGATATTCTTTAGTGAGGGAGAACAATCAAAGAAAATAAAAAATTACAATATCCCGCCGGTAGGCATTGAATTGTGTATGCCCACCGGCAGGAGAAGAAGCGTGTTTGAGGTATCAAGAATTCAAAACCTGGCTCCGATACCATTTAGAAATTAATAAGAGAGAATATAGTTTGTATATTGAATTGTCTTGTGAATACAAAGGTCTAACCCTCTTTATATAGGAAGAGAGTAAAGCATATAAGTAAACTTTTATTCATACCATATTTCTATTCCTACTATAACAAGAACTAAGCAAACTAGAAAAGATACTAAACCGAATCTCAAAGGGATTCAGTTTCCTTCTTTGATCCGGCTTCCTTCTTCTGTCGCCAACAGTAATTAATAAGATTTTGTACTGTTATTATTCTACTTTCACTACTACACTCAACACACTGCCACTGTCACTCGTCGGTTGTTGGAACATTGTCTTTGTTTGCTAGAGTGTTTGTTGTCGGCGTTGACCAATAGTCTATCGGCAGTTGACTGATTATATTACACTTTTACCACTATTCCGTCATACTACTATTATCTTTTTATCACAATGTCATTATAATTATATTTATGAGATTAGTTAAGTTTGACCCAAGTAGTATTTTAGTTAAGTTTGCTCTGTAGGGTGTTTTGTTTGAGGTAAATTCTTTTTTTTTTTGAAAAATTATCCACAATAATCCTAACTTTACCCGATCTTTAAACAGCAATGCATATTTCAACTTTACTGAAATTTGCGAGTTTTGGGTCGTCGTTAAGTTGCTACCGGTGGGTTAACAAAAATGTCTGTTTTGCGCAACAAAATGAAAGTTGAAATTATTTTTGATGAATTTTCATTTTTTAAATTTTTTTGAAATTTTCATTTAGATTTCTAAAATTACTTTCAATCTCCATCATTTTTTTTCTCTTTTAAAAGATTAGTCTTATTTTTTTAAAAAAATAAAAATAATAGATATAAAAAATAATAAAAATGAGATAAATAACTAAAACACTACAAAATTAATGAAATAAATAAGATAATCAATAAAAACTAACTTGAAATTAATAAGAAATAAAATAAAAATATTTGAAGTGGTGGATTTTAATATTTAACACACTATACAAAGTATTAGTGTACCACTTCTTCTTATTTTTTAGAAAAATTATCTAGAATAATTCCAATTCTTAGCGGCCGACCTATTCTTTCAAAAAAATAATTACTCCCTCCGTCCCAGAGTATTTGTCCACTTTAACTTTTACACACCATCCAATGCACTTCTTTAATCCATTTTATCTTGTAATTTGTATATTAAAAAATTATAGAAATTATATATTAATAACCTATTTGTTAAGACAAATCAAATAAGATCACACATGACTATATTTAGGCTTACACATTGAGGGAATTTGATGAATCAAAGTGCTTAGATGAACAGTTCCAAAAGTCAAAAGTGGACGAATATAGCGGGACGGAGGGAATAGTACATTAATACTCTGTATAGTATGTAAAATGATAAAACCTACCACTCCATATATATTTATTTTATTTGTTACGAGTTTCAAGTTAGTTTCTATTGATTACTTTATTTTTTCATTAATTTTGTATTGTTTAGTTATTTTTCTCATTTTCATTATTTTTTATATCTATTATTTTTATTTTTTAAACTAAGACTAATTTTTAAAAAAAGAAAAATAAATGGAAGTAGAAGGTAATTTTAAAAATTTAAATAAAATTTCAAAAAAAATTTTAAAAAAAATGAAAATTAATAAAAAATAATCTCAACTTTCAATTTGTTGAGCAAAACAAGACGTTTCTGTTAATTTGTCATTAGCAACTTAAAGACGACTCGAAACTCGCAAATTTCAGTAAAAATGAGATTATTATGGAATACAATGGGATGAGATGATTTTGGAAAGACCAAATAAAATTAGGACTATTTTGGATAATTTTTCTCTTTTTACTGGGGCGGTTCATGTGACATTGTTAGGCAATTTCATATGATGACCCGGAGCGGCTACGGTACCCTGTTCGTAAAATCTACAATTCCTACCCTCCTAACCCCTCTGGCAAACCCTCCACCCGTCTGACCCGATTCCAACCTCCCACCCGCCTTCAATTGGACCCCCAAGTTAATTTTGATTTGGGGGTGCAATTGAAGGGCGTGAGGGACTGGTTCGGATTGGGGCGAAGTGGAGGGTAGAATCATTAATTTTACGAATGACACATCATAGCGATCTGGAGATCATCCATGTGAGAATCTGTCCTTTTTTTTTAATATGGCAATTTGTAGCACAACAGTTAAGAATGGACATGGTCCTCTAACCCGTGACTGCCGTGAGTACGGACAGGTAGTATCTTAAATCTTTATGCAGCAAATAGACTCATTTAAATGCGGCGGTAATGGGTTGTTGGATAGTGGCTGGCCACCCAAAAAGAAAATAAATACCAAATCACTGAGAAAAAAAAGGAGAAATCTTTCAGCTCAGAAATCTTTCATTTCCGATATGGTCGCAAAGGGTCAGCTTGGAATAGCATAAAAAAGAAAATGATCCAAGAAAAGGGTCGGAAAGGCCATCATCTTCCGACCACCGCCGGCGGAAAACCGGCGGCGGCGGCGAGGAAGAGGAGGAGATGCAATTTAGTGTCTTTTCAAGAACTGCCGGAGTATATGAAAGACAACGAGTTCATTCTGAATCATTACAGAGCTGAATGGCCCCTCAAAGATGCCCTCCTTAGCATTTTTCAGTGGCACAATGAAACTCTCAATGTCTGGACGTCAGTATCATCATCATCTTCTTCTTCCCATAATTCTTGATTTAAATTATTAATAGTAATTAATTAATTAATGTTTTTTTCTTCACATGTTATTTTTGGGTTTTGCAGCTTAATTATAAAGTAATTACTGTAAAATTGTGAGATTTCAATCCAAAATAACCTGTCAATGAGAGGAGCAATTCATGTTCTTATATGTTACTGTGTTTAACTTTTAGACTGAAAGTTCTATGTGGGACTAAAAAACTTCTTTTTTGAGTTCCTAAGCTATGGGTTTTACTCTCAGGTAGAATTGCTTGATTCTAATCCAAAACCAATTGTCAATATGAAGTGTAACTCATACTCTTACATATTGGTCTTTTTTTTGGGTGAATGTATTGGTCTTTTTGAGTTTGAGCGTTCGACGTGAGACTAACACTATATTTGGTTCAAGGAAATATGACATAGAAATGAAAAGAATATGAGAAAGAAAACAATTTTTCATGTTTGGTTAGAGAAGAAAAGAAAAGTGAAAAGAAAAGAATATGTGAAAACAAAATGTAGTAAGACGAAGGAAAACCAAATTCATTCCATTCTAGTGAAGAAAATGAAAGAAAACCATTTCCTTTTCTTTTCATTTCAAATTCCTTAAACCAAACATAACCTATATTTTCTAGAATTACTTTCATATATAAACTCTGTTAATAAGTTGATTTCTGGCAGGCATTTGATAGGGTTTGTTCTGATTTTGGTACTGGTTGTGGCAAACTCTGCCCATATTTATCAGCTAGCAGATTTCATGACAGTGTTCTTAAGGTAACATTTGCAGAATTTTATTGTTCTGTAATTTAAAGTTGTTCTCTTGATTCCCATTAAATGCTTGAAAAGAGTAATAAATAAATGCACATATGATAGGTATATTATACCATTTAGACCGACGATCGCAATATGTAGAGGGAATTTTAATTTACCAGATAAAAACATTGTGTTAGACCAATAATAGAGAAACTATGAAAAGATTCTTGGACTTATTTACAATTTAATACTATATATATTTTTAAATGTTGGGTAACTGCACTATTGTGTAAATTTATCCCTGGATTATGTTTATTAGTTTTTCTTCTTGATATTTCAATGTTTCCTGCAGGAATTTTCATACTAATGCAGATGCTAACATCTCTCAGAATGTAAATGATATTTTGCAGGTTAGACACCCCCCCAAACTTCACGTTCTCTTTTTTTCATTCGTCCCGATATATACTTCACGCTTTCCTCGTTATTAAATCAACCTAAATTGGCATGTTGGCACTGCAAAACGCTCGCAATTTGGCACTGTGTATTGGTATTCGGCTGTGTATTTTTGGCATTATGTTTTAGTAAATGATGTCAAGAACCAATTCAACCAAAAGCTCAAGCTTGTAGTTGTGGTCCAGGAATGGTTTTTTATATTCTAACACACTCCCTCACGTGCAGGCGTAGTCTTTTCAAGCCTTGCACGTGAAACCTTTACTTTAATCAAAAATTGGGTGACGTTGAGTTTCGAACCCGTGACCTCTTAGTCAACTAGGCTCAGAGACCATGTCAAGGAACCAATTCAACCAAAAGCTCAAGCTCGTGGTTGTGGCCCATGAATGGTTTTTTATACATGAAACATGTTTTAGTCGTACTTAGGTATTTCTCCCTTCCTCATTTCATCTTAAGGAAAGGAATGCGCGGCTCACATTATTTCTCTCTCTTCTAAACAAATTGGCCAGATGACAGGTCAACAACGAGGAGAGGCTACGAGCCCAGTAAAATGGCCAATGTACGTCTTCTTGGCGGGTTCAATGTTCTGCTTCCTATCGAGCAGCGTGTGCCACCTCTTCTGCTGCCACTCGGAACCCCTAAACCTCGCACTCACCCAAATGGATTATGTGGGAATAGCGGTCATGATATTCGCCTCCTACTTCCCCCCAATGTACTATATCTTCCAGTGCTCCCCTCCATGGCACATCATCTACCTAACAGCAACATCCATCATTGGCACCTGCATTACCCTCACTCTCCTCACCCCTGCTTTTTCCAAGGGCAAATACAGGGCGTTTCGGGCATGCCTATTCGTCGCCATGGGCCTGTTTGGATTGGTTCCCGCTATCCACGCTCTCGTCGTCTACTGGAATGACCCTTACAGGTGTGTGTGTGTGTTACCCTACTATACTTGTGCTCCGCGCCTACGAGTGTTTATAATTGAAATTGTGTTTCCTCTTGAGACCTAATAGCTCCTATGAGTCTAGAGTGGGTTCTTTTTGACACCCATCTTGTGTGTCAAATGGTATGGAGGTTGTAGTATGACACCCATGATGAGTATAAAAAAATCTCATTCTATAAGCTATTACTTCCTAGGTCTCACAATTTTTTGAACACGCAAGAGTGACACGAAAATTAAGAAAAATAAGATTATGTGGTTAATATTGGTGACAAGAAGTAACATAAATTAAGAAACTGTGTGAACCACATAAATATGACCAAATGTGGTACGAGTTAAAACTTGTGGGACAAACAAAAAAGGTAAAAACATACAAAATAGGGAAAAAGACTAAACTAGTCGTAAAACATGGACGAATGATCAAAACAGGAGTTTCATTTGGAGAAAGGTTAGTGAATATGTGAATCTTATAATTTTCGCTCTGTTTTGAAATGATAGGAATGTGACGCTGGCGTACGAGGGGGCCATGGCATTGTTCTATATAGTAGGGGTAGTGTTTTACGTGAGCCGAATCCCGGAGAGATGGAAGCCGGGGGCGTTCGACTTGGCGGGACAAAGTCACCAGATTTTCCATGTGTTTGTCATCTTTGGTGCTTTGGCACATTATGGCGCGGCACACATTTTCTCCCAATACCGCACCAGGCTCGGATGCCCTCCGCTCAACTAAATCGAGTCAAACCACTTTATATAACAACGAGTTAATACTCATTTTCGTTCCTCCTGTAAGTCCACTCACGATTCAATTTGGTCCATGTAAGTTTGGTCGAGTCAAATTAGTCTTTTTGACTAAAAAATTTGAACCTAAGTTTGTTTTTTCGAAACATTTTGGCGGTAAATGGCTGTTGAGGTAGCATTTGGATGTTTTGACCATGAATGGCTTTTTTGACTTTTCAATCTGCCAAAAAAATTGTTTGGACACTGGCTTTTGCAATTAGCTGTTGGCCACGAACTGCCGAAATTTGAACTGCCAACATGAGTAGCATTTCTAATTGGCTGATTGCATATATTTAATTTTTTGCCCTTCTTGAGCCGTTCCCATTTTTTTTTATCAAAGCATTCTTTTTCTTTCTTTTTCTTATCATAGACATGTTTCTTCATTTCAATAATTTTTATGGTACACTACTCTTTTTTTAGCATCATATTTTTAAATTTTTATTTTAAAATGAAATGATTATAAATATTTATAGAAAATAAATAATGTTTAAATTCTAAGTGTTCAAGAATAACTTTCAACAAAAATTATGTGTTTTTATATTTAAGAAACATCCTCTCTACTTCTGAGTATGGGTAAGAACTGCGTACAACACCCCTCCTTGATCCTACATTCGTGGAATCCTACTAGGTTGTTATTGTTATCAAAATTTAAAAATTTAAACGATTCAAAACAATAAATTACTCCATCCGTCCGGAAATGTTCTTTTCATTTGACTTTTTACAGTCTCCAAGATTACAATTTAACCACTAATATCTTTATTTATACATGGATATATTTTATAAAAAAAATTGATATTTAAAAAACCATATTTCAAAATGAATATATTCATATTAAAGTTATATTCTAATACATTGGCTTTTTTCTACGTATCATAGTCAAAGTTTACAAACTTTGACCAAAAAAAGTCAAATGGGAAAAATATTTCTGGACGAAGGGAGTAATTAACACATCCTTTAAAAAAAATCAAGCAACATATTTGGAGACATGTCTAAATATGTAATTTTCATTGCAAACAGCTGTTTATGAACAACTAAATTTACCAAACATTTTTTTCCTAACAGCCAATACAATCCGCTGGTCAAAACAGCTAACTCAATCAGCCATTCAATACAGCCAACACACACAGCCAACTGCCAACAGCTAACCGCTAACATCCAAACAAGGCCTTTATGTGTTAGTGTAAAATTCTAAGTTATCACTTATATTGACACAAGAGCAATGGTTCTATGTATTTGTTCTTATATCAATTAACGTTCTGATTTAGAATTTTAGTAGAAAAAATTCGCATAAAAGACCAATTTGATTCACATTAACTAGTCACATGATTAATTTGACATGGCTTTTCTAGTTTTTCCTCATTTTACTATTTTAGGATTGGCTTTGAATAAAATGCATGAATTAGCATATCCAATATGGGCAAGGTTCCATGACCCGGGGGCGCTCCGGTGTCTCATTCGTACAATTTACGATTTCTACCCCCTAACCCTCCCAGTAACCCCCCACCCCGCCCCGTCCCAACACGAACACGCCCCCCCTTCAATTGCGCCCCACAAATTGATTTTGACTTTGAAATCAAAATTTGGAGTAACTAAATTTACAAACGGGACACCAAAGCGCCCCGGGGCAATGTCATGGGAACCTTGGTGATCCAATATATTAGATATTTTTTATTCATTATATGGTATATGAGTATTCATTCTCGATATACAAAAAATGTCAATATCAAGTTGTACAAACTTTGTATTTAATTTTTAAAAAGAAAAATATGAATTGTTCCTGTATTAAAACATAAATATGTAAATAGGATTAAATCATGTTCATGTACCAAAGTAATATTTTTTTTATATTTTTTTACTAAAATGGTAAAATAAGTATTCATTGTTGATATACGAAAAATGCCAATACCTTGTTGTACAAACTTTGTATTTAATTTTTAAAAAGAGAATTGTTCCTTTACTAAAACATAAATAGGATTAAATCATGTTCATGTACAAAAATATTTTTTTTATATTTTAAAACTAAAATAGTAAAATAAGACTTATAACTACAAATAACATATTATGAAAATACGCCGAGGTTCTAGTGACACCGGAGTACGGTGACACTCCGGTGCCACTGTCATTTTGGGACACTTCCGATGCTCGGTTTACAAATTTGATGACTCTTACCCCCCTATTACCACCTAAACCTTTTACCCCACCCATGTCCTCCCCTAAGCCCCTTCCAAATGTGAAGCTATTATAATAGCCACACATTTGAAGAGAACAAGGAGTGCACATAGACGAGCAGGATATCCGATCGGGTATTCATAATCTGGAGTAAAAGGATTTGAACCTTTCACCTTTGCATGCCGGCACCAAAAACTGGAGCACCGTTTATTTTGCAAACAGAGCACCAAAAATGTGAAATAACCCACCCATGAAAATATAATCGCAAAAAATATTGTAAAATGTCGCCGAATACTCTGTAATGGGTTTATCATTGTAATTGTGTACCCACTAAGTTAGTCCAAAGAGTAAGGGAGGCCCAAACAAGAAAAGTTGAAACCCAAAGATCAAAGAGAAAATTTCGCAAAAGCGGTCCAGCCCATGGAAAAATCACAAAGGGAGAAAACAAAAAGCTTAGGTTCCCAGCTTCCCACTTCCCAGCCGCTGCCAGAGAAATTGCCGCCGCCGTCTGCGTGTCGCCGTCGGTCATCGCTTGCGGTCTCTCCAATTCCCGTCGTTCTCCGCCAGGAACTAGCTGTTCCAGTGCCAGCAGGACCGCACGAGGCACCACCGCACGTGGTGGAACGTCCGGCAAGTCGCCCCAAGCCCGAAATCTCAGCTGTTTCCGGTAGCCACTGACCGCTGCTGGGTCACCGAACTCTCGTTCAGCTCAACTATCTGGCGGGAATAGTCTGACCAAAGAAAAGTGAAGCAGCTACCGCCAAAAAAATTCCATTCCACATAACTCCTTGTAAGTTGTCCATGTTCTATGTTTTAATTGTAATTACCTGTGTAATTGTAATACTCTGTGTGAATAAGCTCTAGAGGATTTGAAGGTTGTTTTATGATTCGCACAGAGATTATTAATAAATTTTGGCGATTTTACTAAAATTAACAGCCCCTTGTTCCAATCAGAAGGAGCAAAAAGCTAAGCAATGGCGTATCAAGGTGGGAGTTTGAAATCCACGTCTATCAATGGCATCAAGATGTATATGGTTGCTGGCCAAAACCGTTCCCTAGCTACATGGATTCCACCTAAGAAGCTTAGGGCCCTTCGCAAAGATCCAAGTATCTACTCAATTTTTCTTATTTCTTTTAAAAATAGTGATTTACAAGCTCAAAGTTCAATGTGGAGTAACTAAAGCTGCTTTATTTACAAAGAAACATTTCATATTTTCATTCATTGTGTTGTATCACACATTTAGCTAGCTGTGAAGTGTAACTGTACATCTTTTGTTGTTTGTAGCATAGGCATACCATTTTGAATTATGAAGTATATTATGTTAAGACATTAATCTCACCAACCCAAGCTAATTGGAAATAAAAATAAGGTGGATATATCGATGAAGTGACTTAACAATGAAAGAAATAAGGATCACGTTACAATATTAAAATTAAAAATCAACAATCTAATACCCCTCCAAACTTCTAAAGTTTCAAACATGAATTTGGTCGAGTGGTCTACTCAAGTTTGCATTAGATTCAAAGGTGCTCCTAGTTAAGAGTTATATTCAGTTTAAAAATATTCAAGTATTAATATACTTATCAAACTTTAAAGATTAATTGATAAAACAATATCATAAATCTCTAGAAGTGAATTGAGTTCAACAACACTTATATGAACTGAATTGGATAGTACAAAAGTGGTGTGATTTTGAACTAAGCAGTCTATATTGTACGGAACTAAATAGAATGATACTGAACTGAACAATACATAAGTCAAATACTGATGAATTCAAGCTTATGACCGCTGCTTTCTCTCTCCCAAATAAAACATGTTCAGTATTTACAATTTTGAATTTGAGTTGAAAGTTATTAATCTTAAACTGAAATGGGAACTGTATTTTGGGATGGAGTAAGAGTTATATCACCCTACCCTAACAAGAATGGGCTAAATGGAGTGTGCAAGGATTTATCAATGTGCATGCCTAGCATGTAAGGTCATGAGCTACTAAAAGTATGATTTAGTATGGTTTGTGGATGTGGCTATGAATGTTGGACATTATTTATTTCTAGTTTCTTGGTATATGCACCTTTTTTGGCTGGTTTTCTTTTATGTTCACTGATTGATCTTCTCTTTGGGTAGATTATTTGCAAAGACTGGATATAATCCAAGATCTGAGATTCGAAACAGCAACAACTAAGATTAAGGCCACTCCTGATGGGGAGTATCTTATTGCATCAGGTGAGTTAAGTTTGCAGATGTCTAATTTGCACTCCTGGTCACTGAAAGTGTATGCATAGTGATAATGTTATAGAGTTAGGCCTGTCAAAGGGTCAGCTTTGCACCCAGATCCGGTCTTTTTTCAGATCTCGTACACTCTTCAGAGTTCAGACCAGTGGACCCAGATTTGGGTCCTTTTTTCTCATTAGAAAACTTTCTACTCGGGTATCTTGTGATGTTGATATGAAGCCCAGTCACTAAATGTACAATCACTACAATCAGTTGCTTTTCCAATAAATATCACGACAATCACATACATGAGCAATGATGTTAGTATTCACCAAAAAGATGAAAATCAGAATTGTATACATGTATGTGCTGCATACAGGTTTTCAACAAACAATGTCATTTTAATGATAAACGATGATACGTCAAGCGTGAAAAGTTGAAATACTTGTACTTTGGTTTTTAAAAGAAAAATGAGTAGAGCGTATTACGCATTTACGCTACATGTCTAAAATTCTTGGTATTTTCTGTATCCTTATTAATATTTGCATGTCATTCCCTTTTTTCATTGTTTGGTGAAGGTGATGAATGTTTAATCTTTTTTCTTTTGTTTTTCTAGCTACTTGTCATGCCATTTACCAATTGTAATGATTTATGTAAACCAGGTATTTATCCCCCACAAATTAAAGTATATGAGCTGCGGGAATTGTCTATGAAGTTTGAGAGGCATTTGATTTCAGAGATTGTTAATTTTGAGGTATTAAATTCATTTGC